ACTTCTATGCCTCCTCTATCCCATAATTTTAAGTACATGCATGATATACAGCCCATAAGCATGAACCTTAAGTAGCTGATAATCATACAGGGTTACATGAATGCACATGCCAATTTCTGAAGAGCTGCCCCTCACGGAATCTTACCGGCCATGGGGTGCTTGCTCACTATTTTTTTTTTTTTTTTTTGAGACTAGTCTCACTCTGTCGCCCAGGCTGGAGTACAGTGGTGCAGTCTCAGCTCACTGAAACCTCTGCCTCCTGGGTTCAAGTCATTCTCCTGCCTCAGCCTCCCGAGTAGCTGGGATCACAGGCAGGAACCACCATGCCCAGCTAATTTTTTTGTATCTTTAGTAGAGGCAGGGTTTCACCATGTTGGCCAGGCTGGTCTCAAACTCCTGGCCTCAAGTGATCCACCTGCCTCGGCCTCCCAAAGTGCTGGAATTACAGGTGTGAGCCACCGTGCCCTGCCTCCTTGCTCAATTTTTTGATCTCACTGGTTTTGGCTGCTGAACCTCTGCTTTTTCTCTCCCTTCTTGCTCACCCACCCCTTCACCTTGTTTCTGTTCTCTGCTTTTACTTATTTTGCCCTTTATCCAACTTTCAATTCCCTTTGCTATTCTTTTGTCTCATTTTCAAAAGGGCTCTACCATTTTACATTTCTACCTAGCAATGTCTGAGGGTTCTCTCCACTTCCCCACCGACCTTTGCTATTGCCTGTCCTTTTGATTACAGCTATCTGAGCGGGGGTAAAGTGCTGTCCCTGTGGCTTTGATTAACATTTCCCTGATGACTAGTGAACCTGAGTATCTCATCATGTGTGTATTGGACATTTGTCTATTTTCTTTGGAGAAATGTCTATTCAGGTCTTTTGCCCATTTTCCATTTTTCAGTTGCTTGTCTTTTTTGTTGTTGTTGGTTCTTTATGTATTTTGATATTAGATCTCTATCAGATATATGATTTACAAATATTTTCTTTGATTCTTTGGGTTGACTTTTCACTTTATTGATAATGCTTTGGAGCACAAAACCTTTTCACTTTGATAATATCCAATTATCTACTGTGTCTTTGGTTATTCATGCTTTAGATATCATATATAAGAAACTGTTGCCTAATCCATGGCCATGAAGATTTGCTCCTATGTTTTCTTCTAAGGGTTTTAGATTTTGATTCATTTTGAGTTACATTTGGTAAATGATGTGAGTTAGGGATCTGACTTCAGTCTTGTGCATGTGGATATCCAGTTGTATCAGTATTATTTATTGAAAACACTGTTCTTTTTTTTTGAGATGGAGTTTCACTCTTATTGCCCAGGCTGGAGTGCAAAGGCGTGCTCTCGCCTCGCTGCAACCACTGCCTCCCAGGTTAAAGTGATTCTCCTGCCTCAACCTCCTGAGTATCTGGGATTAGAGGCTTGCGCCACCACGTCCGGCTAATTTTGTATTTTTAGTAGAGACGGGGTTTCTCCATGTTGGTTAGGCTTGTCTCGAACTCCTGACCTCAGATGATCTGCCCACCTCGGCCTCCCAAAGTGCTGGGATTACAGTCGTGAGCCACCACACCCAGTCTTGAAATGACTATTCTTTCCCCCATTGAATTATCTTGGCATTCTTGTCAAAAATCAACTGCCCATAAATGTATTCATTTATTTCTGGATTTTCAATTTCTATACAATCTTTCTCTCTCTCTCTCTCTTTTTTTTTTTTTAAAATAAGGAGTTTGCTTTGTTGCCCAGGCTTGCTTGGGCTTGTTCAAGACAGCTGACTGCAGTCTTGAACTTCTGGGCTCAAGTCATCCTGCCTTGTCAGGCTCCCGAGTAGCTGGGACTATAGGCATGCAGCACTGTACCAGGCTAATTTTGTTGTTTGTTCGTTCGTTTGTTTGTTTGTTTCTGGAGAGACGGGGTGTCACTTTGTTGCCCAGGCTGGTCTCAAACTCCTGGGCTCAAGCAATCCACCCACCTCAGTCTCCAAAGTGCTGGGATTACAGGTATGAGCCACCACGCCCAATCCACAATCTTGATTACAGCACTTCATAGTAATTCCCTCCTCCTAGGCCTTCTTATTTTTTTAATTTTCAAGCAAAATCTTTCAAACATGCAGCAAAGTAAAACAAGTCTTGGAATCCACAACCCAGATTTAACAGCAGTTAGCATTTTTCTGTCTTTTGGTTCATATCTCTTTTTTTCACTAAAAAATAAAATATTTTAGATAGAGCCAGGCACGGTGGTTCACGCCTGTAATCCCAGCACTTTGAGAGGCCAAGGTGGGTAGATAGCTTGATCTCAGGAGTTTGAGACCAGCCTGGGCAACATAGTGAGACCCCCATCTCTTAAAAACAAAAACAAAAACAAAAGAAATAAAATATTTTAGATACAACCAGAGCTACCCTACCCCTAGTCCCACCCATTTCCCCTCCGTCTCTCTCCTTGGGTAACCAAAAACCACCATGGGAGGGTACTGGCATCCTTGCCAAGGATATCACTGTACTTTTAGAGCCTTATAAATAAGATGTAGCATTGTTCTGTGGGCCTTAGTACTTTACCTAAATAGCATCACACAGGATGTAACCTTTTATAACCTGCTTGTTTTGCTCATGTTTATCTTTGTAAGCTTTCCCCATGTTGATTCATGTGGATCTAGTCCATTCATTTTACTTTGCAGCAAGCTCTAATTTGGATTCATCCATTGTTTGTTCCTGCATTCCCCTGGCAGTGATTATTTAGGTTGTTTCCAGATTTTCACTATTATTGCCAGTTCCGTAATGAATGGACATTCCAGTGTGCACCATCTTGTTCCTTTTATCTTTTTGTTTATTTTTGGCTCTAAACTGAGTTCTCCACTGAGGGACCTGCTTCCCCTGCAGACTTCTAAGAGGTGGCTATTATCTCCTCAATAGCCGTTCTACTGCGGGGCTGGGGATAGGAGAGACATTGCCCCTTGCCCTTCATAGCTACTTCCAAACCACGCATTTTTCCTCCCTAAAACCTCCAGCTTCTTCCTTAGTTTATTTATTTATTTTTAATAGATACAGAGTCTCACTATGTTGCCCAGGCTGGTCTTGAACTCCTGGCCTCAAGTGATCCTCCTGCCTCAGCCTCCCAAAGTGCTGGGATTACAGGTGTGAGCCACTGCACCCAGCCCCATAGCTTCTTTGAAAGGTGAGTCACCACGTGACCATCCATTGCTCCCTCTGGTTGCAGCCATCTACACACCCCTGCCACTTCCCTACCTCCATGACTGTTACAGCTCCCAGCTTATAGTCATTCTCTCAACATGATTCTGACACAATCATGATTTCCTTTTGGGGGTGTGTGTGGAAATGTTTTAATTGCAGGATTCTTAGATATAGTGGTTAAACCATCTCTCCCAGTTCCTTACTAATTAAGAGTGCCTCATGCTGGAAACACACCCCTTCTTACATTAAACTCAGGTGATCACATCTCAGAGTTCTTGTGTTAAAAGATTCACATCTTTATTAAGCCAAAGAGTGTGGTGCAAAAGGAATATTTCATCAGCTGAAGTCACTACTGCTATTTGCTAGAAACATCCATCACTTTAGAATACTTAACTATAAAATATATTGAATTCCATGTATATTAATCCTATACATGTGTAACTAACACTAAATGCAGTTCGGTCATTAAAATGTAAGATTCTGGGTTGGGTGCACTGGCTCACGCCTGTAATCCCAACACTCTGAAAGGCAGAGGAAGGAGGATCAGTTTAAGCCAGGAGTTCAAACCCTAGCGGGGGCAATATAACAAAATGCCATCTCTACAACGGAATTAAACAATTAGCCGGGCATGGTGGTGCATGCCTGTAGTCCTAGCTATTTGGGAGGATGAGGCGGGAGTATTGCTTGAGCCAGGAGGTCAAGTCTGCAGTGAGCTGTGATCACACCACTGCACTCCAGCCTGGGCAACAGAGCAAAACCCTGCCTCAAAAAAGAAAAAGAAAAAAGACATTCTGGGAGCATGCCTCAAACATACAATCTGGCTGAATTCCCCAGGTAAGGCCCTCTGCGTTATAAATAAATTGCTAATACCAAACTGAGAGCTGGGCGACCCACACAGCGTAGAGCTAGGAAGCAAATGAGACACTCATATCTCAGAGCCACATGGTGATGAGTAACCAGCCTTTCTGTCCCATGGTCGCCTTTCCTCCAGTGAACTTGTCCCCCACCTTCCTCGGCCCCTCACTCCCAAGGTCATACCCTGGACCATGTCATTACCAGTAACTGCCCTTGCATGAGCTCAACACAAAACACCCAGTCTCCAACCGCCACCATCTGTCTATCCAGCTCATTGCCTAGAGCATCCAACACCAAGAGTCCTTTGAGCTCACCCAGACTGATCCTGCCCTTTCTCTTACCTCCCCTTCATGTCCTTAATTGTCACCTTACCCAGCTCCCAACTCTCATGGTCATTCATTACAGGTCGTTCATTACATCGTTTATCCACACCCTCGACTCTCTTCCCAAATAACTTTGACTCTCATTCCTGCTGACTCCTGGTAAAACCAGGACCTGGAAAACCCAACTCTCCATCAACTCTGCACCTACCCCAGTGCAGCTGACATGGCTGGAGAAAGGCACCCAGTCATGCTAACGGTAAATCCAAGAACACTCACCTCAGTGCCACCCAAAAGTCCCACTGCGTTTTCCTGACTCATTCGCTCCCCACTCTCTTTGAATATTTCATACTTTCCTCCCTCCACTCAAACCTTCAAACTCCTCCTCACTGATCTGTGCTTGAAACCAATGACCCTGATTCCTATGTCCCTAAGAAAGGAGAAGTTACCAGAAGACCACACCCACCTGCAATGCAGCATCTGCCCACTGCAGGTTCCTTGTTCCACGCTCAAGGATAAGCTTGTCTGACTCACGGCCTGTGGGTCTCATGTGGCCCAGGACAACGTTGAATGCGGCCCAACACAAATGCATAACATTTCTTAAAGCATTAGGAGATTTTTTTTGGTGATTTTTTTTTTAGCTCGTGAGCTATTGTTAGTGTATTTTATGTGTGACCCAAGACAATGCTGCTTCTTCCAATCTGGCCCTGGGAAGCCAAAAGGTTGGATACCCCAAGGGACATCGCTCCTCAATTTACCCATTTCTTTTCTGCATCATCAATTTCCTCCTTTCGACTGTGTCATTCTCTCTCTCTCTCTCTCTTTATTTTTTTTTTTTGAGACAGAGTCTTGCTCTGTCTGGTGTGCTGTCTCCAGGCTGGAGTGCATTGGTGCAATCTTGGCTCACTGCAGTCTCCGCCTCCCAGGATCAAGTGATTCTCCTGCCTCAGCCTCTTGAGTAGTTTGGATTACAGACGCACACCACCACACCGGGCTAATTTTTGTATTTTTTTCATAGAGATGGGGTTTCACCATGTAGGCCCGGCTGGCCTGGAGCTCCTGACCTCAAGCGATCCACCTGCCTCAGCCTCCCAAAGTGCTGGGATTATAGGTATGAGCTACTGTGGCTGGCCCTACTGTATCATTCTCATCAGCATGCTATAAACCAGTAATCTTCCCATCTTAAGGAAACAGTGCTTTAGGAAAACAGATCCCGCATACCCTTCTAGGTGCTGGAGCTTTACAGTAAAACTCAGAAGAACAGTCAATACTTGCTGTCGTCAATTCTCCTTTTCCTTGTCTCTTGATTCCAATTCCGATTCCAAATATTTCTTAGAATTCCTTGGGATGGCAGAGCCACGAGAGGAAGATCCGCTTCGGGGAGGGGAGAGATGACACCCTGAAGCGCACGTTATTCCTGAGGTCCTGATAGGGGAGTAATAAAATACTTATGGTTTACATGAGATGGAGAAATTGTTGAACACAAGAACGATATAAATGTCTTTTGTAGTTAAAAAAGGAACCTGGCGTGGTGGCTCAGGCCTGTAATCCGAGCACTTTGGGAGGCCGAGGTGGGTGGATCACGAGGTCAAGATATTGAGACCATCCTGGCCAACACGGTGAAACCCCAACTCTACTAAAAGAAAAAAAATTCAAAAATTAGCTGGGCATGGTGGCGCAGGCTTATAATCCTAGCCTTGAGAGGCTGAGCAGGAGAATCGCTTAAACCCCAGAGGTGGAGGTTGCAGTCAGCCGAGATCACCACTGCATGCCAGCCTGGCAACAGAGCAAGACCTCATCTAAAAAAAAAAAAAAAAAGACACACACACACAAAAGGAACCATTGGAATCAGGTAAACTAGCATGTATTGGATAAAGTAACATCAGATGTTGTAACAAACAAACCTCAAATTGTATAATGGCTCAGACACAGTAAATTTATGTTTCGCCAGGTAAAGTCAAAAACGGATGTTCCTGATTAATGGGCAGCTCTTCTCCAAGTGGAGGTTCAGGCACCCAAGCTCCTCCCATTTGTGGTTCTGCTGTTGTTGACCGTGTTCATCCACATCAAGTCATAAAAGGGAAAATAGACTCAGGTCTGGAGTGTGGGAAACTTTTGGTCAGAGCCCGGAAGTTGGGTGCATCAGCTCTGATCACATTCCACTGGCCAGAATCAGACACCTGGTCTCACCTCTTTGCAAGGAAGGCTGGGAAACAGAAGAGCTGAGTGCTCAAGAAGAGGAAACAGGTTTGGCAAAGAGCCAGCCAGGCTCTTCAAATAATGAATGTCCTCCAAGCCACCATGATTGGGCAAAGAGAAGAAGATTCACCCTCCAGGACTTTGTTCTGAATACGGAGCTTGTCGTGGCCTGGATTCCCAGAGCAAGTCCCATTGTAAAACCACAGTTGCTCTTCTTCAAGAAGGAAACCCTTAGAAAAGCAACAATTCTACACATTCCATCTACCTCTTCTGCCATTTGATATGTTTTGTGGGTTTGCAATTGGCTTTTTGGTATTCTATAAAAATGAGAGTCATCTTGTAGCCTGTAGGGTGAGGACGTGAGTAGTGCGGCTATACACTAAGTCTCAGAGACATGGGCTCTGCCACCAACTGGCAGTGAAGTTCAACTACCAGGACCCATGCTACTGGGACTCAGGCCCTGACTCTGTGAAATGGGATTGGTCATGCTTGCCACTGCCAGACTATTTGAGGATCAAGAACTTGCACATTCTCTGCTCCAAATGATCTTTACAACAGCCTCTGGTGGTTGAAAGGGTATAAATGGCCATTGCACATTTCACAGATGGGAGCACCTCAGCTGGAGGATGACATGCTTGACCCAGGGAAACTCCAACTCCCAGCCCCCAGACAAGAGGTGGTGGCTGAAACTGAGAGGAGGTGACATCTTATAGGGAAGGAAGCAAAAAGGGGAAGCAGAAGAGTGCGAGGAATGGTGTGAGGGGAAGAAGGAAGATGAAAACGTACGGACATTCATCCCAGAGCCCAGGGTTCCTTCCATAGTGCCTCCGTCCCAACCCTAAATTCCCTGAGGTTTTCTTTGTTTTTTTTTTTTTTTTTTTTTTTTTTTGAGACAGAGTCTTGCTCTGTTGCCCAGACTGGAGTGCAGTGGTGCGATCTCGGCTCACTACAACCTCCACCACCCAGGTTCAAACGATTCTCCTGCCTCAGTCTCCCGAGCAGCTGGGATTACAGGCATGTGCCACCACGCACAACTAATTTTTGTGTTTTTGGTAGAGACAGGGTTTCACCATGTTGGCTAGGATGGTCTTGAACTCTTGACCTTGTGTTCCGCCTGCCTTGGTCTCCCAAAGTGCTGGATTACAGGCGTGAGTGAGCCACCGTGTCCAGCCAATTCCCTGTTATTTACTCATCCTGATGCCTTGTGATCTGGACACAGACCAAGAATTATAGAGGACAGGGGGAACCAAGAGCGTTTGGAATCCCCAGGAGCCTCCAGCTGGACAATGAACGGTTTCATCTCTCTCCCTGGTCAGTGGCCGCCTACCTGAGGAATGGGCCCCCCAGGACCAACCGTACGGCCGAAGGCCCTCCTCCTGCTCTTCTTTTAGCGAAGTCACTGCCACAGGGATGCTGTATCTACGTGGACTTGGACTTCTCGTATGGACAGAATTATTATTTTTTAGGTGGTAAAATGTTAAAAATTGGTGGATCAGGGTGATGGAAATGCAGGATTTCTTTATTCTATTTTTGCTGTAAGTTTGAAATTGCTTGAATATAAAAAGTTTAAAAGAAGAAGAAAAACAGCCACCACCCAGAAACCCCCTCATAACCTCTTCCATCACAACCTCTTCACCGCCACCACTAAGGAAAGTCACCATACTGGCTCCTAATACCTAGAATAGTTATTTCTACTTGAATCATAGAAAAAGTGAGTGGGTACACTGGGTGCTCACGCCTCTAACCCCAGCTCTTTGGGAAGCTGAAGCCAGGAGTTCGAGAGCAGCCCAGGCAACGTCGTAAGGCTGCATCTCTACAAAAAAAATACAAAAGTTAGCCAGGCATGGTGGTGCAGGCCTGCGGCCCTAGCTACTACGGAGGCTGAGGTAGGAGGATCACTTGAGCCTGGGAGGTCAAGGCTGCAGTGAGCCAAGCGGGGTAGGGGAGGTGACACAGCAAAACCCTGTCTCAAAAAATAAAAATAAATAATGAATCATATAGAAAGCATTTCTTTGTGCCTGACTTCTTTTCTTCTTTTGAGACGGGGTCTCGTTCTGTCACCCAGGCTGGAGTACAGTGGCAAGATCACGGCTCACTCCGGCCTCAACCTCAGCTATCCTCCCACCTCAGCTTCCCTAGTAGCTGGGACTATAGGCGTGAGCCGCTGCATCCAGCCTGGGCCTGACTTCTTTGATGCAACATTATGTTTAGGAGATTCAGCCATGTCTTTGCTTGTCCTTTTACTTCACCCATTCTCATTCCTACACAATATTCCATTGTAAGAATGTATCATATGTGGGTGGAACTTCCAGAATGACTGAGTAGGGAAGCTCTGAAACACCCACCCACCCACACAAAGGTCTCATTCTTTTCTTATTAAGGTTCAGGACTTTTCAAAGTAAACACTTCTCAATTTCTTACCTACTGTGTTAGCTTTTTCTTTATTGGAGACAGAATCTCACTCTGTCACCCATTATTCTTCCTATTACTTATAATTTTGATCAAACTCCAGTTTTCAAATGGCTTTTTTTTCTCACAGTTTTGTTATAAGTTTTTCTAAGTTTTGTATTTTTAGCAGAAACAGGATTTCACCTTGTTGGCCAGGCTGGTCTCAAACTCCTGACCTCAGGTGATCTGCCCACCTCAGCCTCCCAAAGTCCTAGGATTACAGGCATGAGCCACTGTGCCAGGCCAAGAGAAATTATTTTTAAGAGAACCAATAGAAATTCTGAATTTGAAAAGTATAATGACTAAAACGAAAATTTCCCTGGAGGGGCTTAAAAGCAGATTTGAGCTGACAAAATAAAGAATCAGCAATCTTGAGGATAGGTTATACAATCTGAATAATGGAGAGAAAAAAGACTGAAGAAAATGAACAGAGACTCAGAAACCCGTGGCCCATCATCAAATGCAGCAACATACAGGTAACAGGACTCTGAGAAAGAAGGAAAAAATAGAGAAAGAGGCAGAAAAAATATTCAAAGAAAAAAATGGTGGAAACTTCCATAATTTGATGAAAACATTAACCTACACATCCTAGAATCTGAATGAACCAGAAATAGGACAGACTCAAAGAGATCCACACATGAGCACACTATGAGTTAAACTGATGAAAAAGAATAGGATAAAAACTTGAAAGCAGAAAAATAATCCGGCCTGGCGTGGTGACTCACGCCTGTAATCCCAGCACTTTGGGAGGCTGAGTCACAAGGTCAAGAGATTGAGACCATTCTGGCCAACATGGTGAAACCCTGTTTCTACTAAAAGTACAAAAAATTAGCCGGGTGTGGTGGTGCGTGTCTGTTGTCCCAGCTACTCAGGAGGCTGAGGCAGAATTGCCTGAAACCGGAAAACGAAGTTGCAGTGAGCCGGGATGGCGCCACTGCACTCCAGCCTGGAGACAGAGCGAGACCCTGTCTCAAAAAAAAAAAAAAAAAAAAAAAAAAAAAGGGAAAAGAAAGAAAAGAAAATCCATCATATACACAGAAGTGACAATAAGATTAAGACATGACTTTTGTCAAAAACAATGGAGAAA